ACTCATTTGTCATTACGTTAAGCATTGCAGTGTATTTCGCCGCGCTTTCGTATCTGTTACTGAATTAACACCATTTGTACCAGGTTCATTTTGCAGCTCTAGCTCGAGTAACAATTCTTGGTCGACGCTCGGCATACCAAGATCTTCTAAGGTAGTTTCCATGGCTTCCACAACTTTTCCTAATAAGAATAGACCATAATTTTGGGTTTGTTGCTGTGTTGGTTGAGCCCGCGGATTCAGCCTTCTAATTGCGTGATCGCAGTCATCAGTCAAATCGTGTATGTGGTTCGCCCATAGTGCCCTTGGATTCGCTGGCGAGCTGTGGATGAGGATGATCGCTAACATGTGTCGAAGTTGCCGGCCTGTCTGCCACACTGCCGCTTCGGTGAGGGAATCATGGTAGTGTTGGTCGTTGAGCAAGAGACCACGGTGATTGGCAGCTTCCCGAAAGCTATTAAAGAGCGCACCATCAACCGTGCGAAGATCCTCAAAAGACGTTGGGCCCGCGACGTGTGATAAAAGCAAACGTAGATAATAGACTTCGCCCCGCTTAACATTGGCAAAATAAACTCTGCCGATGGACATGAGACTGTTTCGCCGCGGTTCTAAGCGTTTTGTCCTTAGATTCCAAGTGAAAAACTTAGGGACCTCTTGATAGCGCAACGACCGGATTGTCAAATTAGATCCGCGCAATGGAGCATTGGCTGCACACAATCTGAAATATTCGGTGAGCGTAGTTCGCTCCGCTCTCCCAGTTTCAATCGCTCTACGTAACCCAGCCTCATCATAAAAATACACCGTCTGCCGCCCCTCGAGATGTAAACTTAGGCGTTGTACTGCCGGACTTCGCCCCGACATCTCAGATTTTAATAGGCGCCAGATGGCTACCACAACACCAATCATTAGCAAGTGCTACTATCTTAACAAATACATTTTTGAAATAAACAGCAAAGTGTGCTAACCTTCTATCGCTGAGAGGAATCTCGCATTAACATATGTTAATATTTCGTCTTGATTTGGATCATCAACAGTTGCCATAGTTCGGTCGTGGCCCTTTAAGATATATTTAAATAAGTATTTTATTGCTCGGATACTTGCTGCAACCTCAAGATTTATGTGGCATTCATATTTTAAAGTTAAGAATTTATTGTACGGTACTACGTGTCGATTGTCAAATCGGTCCTGGCCTTTAACAAAGTGACGCCCATTATCTGGCCTTTTGTACGTTGGATAGGCATCCTCGGCAAGTTCAGTGATTTCACAAAAAGGACGAGGGTATTTGAGTTTACACTCTGAACCAGTCCAGCATTTATAATTTTGGCAAGGACCGTGTAACATGGAGGTGGTGACCAAGTTGAATAAATCAGCTTCCGTTACGGGATTTGGAAGCTGCGCCGATATCAAACAGTCGATTTGTTCCGGTGTAGTTGGCTTGTGGGCGGGGTCGAGGAATAAGATCAAGTGAACGTGTTGCAAACCGCGTTTCTGGAATTCCACAGTATACACATAAGCGAGGCATTTGCCCAGGCGTTCTTGTTTTGTGACGTCATTTAACAAAGAATGGAATTTTGCGTGAAACACGCGTGCTACTAAGTCTGGCCGATCTTCCGGTAGCTGACCAGGCGCAAGACTTTCCAGTATCTCTCTCCATTGAGGGTTTGCTGTCATCGTTAAGAAAAGACTTGGATGTCCAAATTCAGCTACGAGACTCATCGCGTCCTGATATAGTTGTTGCATATGGCGTGGGCACCCGATGAAACTCGAAGGTAGGATCACTCGTCTGCCGACTACTTCGTCTTCCATTTCGTTATTTAACGCCTCAACTGCTCCATTATATAATTCAGCACGCAATTCTGTCTGGTGAAATCTTATAAATTGAAGTCGGGAATGCTCTACGCAGACAAACATGTCTACTGCGAACTCCTGAAAGAGCCGCCCGGAAGCCAGGATAATCGAAAAGGCGTCTCTTTGAAACAGTAAGTAAGCAAACCATTCTAAGTTTGTTACTTCTCCATTCGGCCCTATTTTAGAATTAAAAGTAGTCTTGTCAATTCCAATAAAAGCACACATATGTAATGTAATCACATACTTTCTTCAGTTGGGTTTGAAAAATTCTCGTGCCATGATTGTGATCCATACGGAAACAATAATGGGTACCTTAACGCAAAATAAGCCGTGTGAAGTTCTGAAATTCTTTGTCTAGCTCCACTTTGCCGCTCCAGTATTATATCTCGCTGCTGTGCACCAATTTGTCCATTACCCTCGATGATAGCCGCCACTTCGTTTGCAGTAGGGCGATTGTACCGCCGGTGGTCCCTACCTGGCGCAGTTGTAGTATTGATTCGGAGAGAGCGCGTATCACCATCATGACAAATTGCCGCTGCACTTCGAAAAACTTGTGTATAAGGATTATGAAGATCCATGAAGTTTTGGAATAGTTGCAAGATTTGTGGATTAAGTTCGTCGTTGAAATGGCGGTTTCTAAAATGGGCTTCAATATGATCACCTCCACCATAGACGAAAATTTGAGCAAATCCCGGGTGATTCCCGGGCAGAGGCATTAAAGAGCCGATATTGTGTGATAGTTGACCGGATATTCGGAAAATGTTCACACCACGTTGACCCATCACCGATCTATCAATTGTTGCCCCCAGAGAAGTGAACGACATGGCGTTGTTGTACTTTCGAATTTGAGATCGAAACCGCACCGCAACTGAAGGAATTTACAGTTAGTTTTGATAGTTTTTGCAAATCAGCTTTATCACTTACTATCGTCTTGCCGAGTTAAAAGGGCGTGATAGAACGGTGGAATATCTTGCCCGACGTCTTCAGCGAAGTAGCGCAACGGCAGTTCAACCGCACCGTGTTGACAACAATTTCCGTAAGTTGAACTTAACACGTTTGCATCTTTCACCCGCCTCTCTACTTTCCATCGAAATGCGCCACATGCTGAGCAACGGTCGTCTAATCTCCCTATGTTATGAGGTATTTCTAATCTGAATCGTGTGCGTAGGTTGACTTCTTGTCCCTCAGCTTCGGACTGGATTGCGACTCCTCTTCGGCTTCGGTAGGGAGGCATAGCTTTTTATGTCGAGCGCAGTTCAAGGGTCAATTAGGGCCGGTATTCATTTAATATGTATCAACTGTTCAATAAAGCAATTATAAGCTATTCACTTACTTTGTAGTTCGATTGATGATTTTTGGAGTTCAGCCTGTGTTTGAACTTTTGATACCGAATTGCCCCGGCGACTTCAGAATCTTGACGATGAAAGACTTGGCAAAATGCACTAATTCTATCTTCTTGAAATGTTGGCAGGGGGTTTTTTGCGACAAACTGGGAACATCAACCACCGAGTAGTATAATACGAAGCAATGCTTAATAAGGATTCGGGACTTTAATATGAGTGTTTTGCTTGGGGTTCAACCATTCTGAACTTCTCGACTGGGAGTCGAATCCTATGGTTTTATTTAGAGTTGTGCATTTGTTAATTGGCTTAGGGCCCACTTTGGATTGTCAGATAACTACATCATACACTGCAGTGAACGTATAATTGAAGTCATAATTTGCAGATAGTGCATTTTCTGTGCTCGTCTCGTGAATTAGTTAACCAAGAGTACTTGCGTCTAACCATTCGTGAGGACTGCGTCTCAATGTTCGCGTTAGTTGGCCGATTGATGCAGACGTTGTGATGAAGTTCCATCTGGTCCTAAGAAACAACGAAGTTAGCAGTTGTGTGTGAGATCTTCAATCAACTTGAAGAATCACATAAAGATAGCAGATAATCGATACAACTCCAGTAGACGTTTGGTGCCACGGGCATATGGTCACCCTATAGTTTGGCTGATAACACAATTTGAGTTGGTTGCGGATGCTGATTCCGCTCGTTCGCTTCGGACTTAAAGGAGAGAAAGGTGGCAAAGTCTGTATTTTTGCAACTTATGACAATTTTGACGTGGCTGGAATTGAGCATTGTACAGATGTCATGTTTGATGTATTCAACCTGCTACTCTGATGCTGAAATATATGCCAGACCCAAGTAACACTCATTGATTATAGAGTTACATAAAAATCTCGCAAGTTACCTTCCCAACCGAGAAACGGCGGTGGGGTTTTGTATACTGCCGGGACAACTCCAACACTCGCAACCTTCTACACTGCTTTCGGGCTATCAAAGCAGTGCATGGTTGCCCACGGACACCAGTATACACTTCGAAATAAGGGGAAATTTAATGGCTATCATTCTTGGGCGGAGGGTGTAGAATTAAAATTGAATCACATGCAGGACTTGAGAAACACATAGACAATTTGGTGTGGTTGAAACTATTAAATAAGCACTACACAAATAACCTTCATAAAGTCAATCGCTTAATTAAAAGGAAGTGTTGAAGTAAGCAAGGACATAACTTTATTACCCCGGTCATCTAAAACAAATAAAGAAATGGACGTTTAATATCTAATATTTTTAGGGTAGGCTGCTGACTGATTTTTTTTTGGGTGTGTTGATCTCTTATGTGAAAGGCGCAAACTAACACGATAGCAAAGAACTTTTTGACCTGAGTAATGAAGGTGTAGCGGAAGTGGAAGAGTGAAATATACAAATGTTTGAGGTTGTAGTGAAAAAAAGGCTTTATGAAATTAGAATGTCATGATGTGGTTTATGCTCAAGATAACTCCACCGCAAGAAAGGATGTAACTCTGTATTATGGAGAAGACCTAGACTTCGTTGCTGAGGTCGAGGGTTCTGCTTTTCTTAGTTATCCTTTTTGGTTGGGATCGGCCTTTTTTCTTCCCGAGCGTATTAACGTCCTCATTAGCTAAGGCGGTGTCGGATGAACTGTTCGAAGCACCAGGTGTCGGATGCGTCGAGGCGGGAGAAAAGGAACACGGTCCGTAGTCGGCTGGGACTCTTTTCAGAATCGGTGCTAAGAACTGGCGACTTGAACGGAGTATGTAATGATCTTGGTATGAACCTGTGAGAATGTTTCAAATCAATTAAAGATCTAATTGGTTCCGAAGGGGTTTGGATACAAAACTTACTTTGCTGGCTTTTTACCCGTAATATCTGGCTTTGCATCTTTTGCTTTGGTGTCAATAGGCTTAATGCCTACATCGTATTCTTTGCTGCCAGTGGTTGGGGTGACTTTGCTTGCCTATGAGGAGAGGTACCCGAGTTGAGAGAGGGTTTAGTACTCAAAACAGCCGGACTTACAAGAACTACGTAGACGCATTGGTCTTCATCAAAATCCTTCAAGAAGCCATGAAACTGGTATTCTCGCCCAACTTGCAATATCTTTGGAACACCGGCTAAGTTGCGGGTAGGTGGGATACGGTACTGTATCTTGCATTGTTTAGGCACTTTTAACTGCGGTAAGATGTTATCAGTAATGAGTTGGAGTGGATTTAGGACTGTGCGCACAGTTGGGTGATAATCGGAATGTAGCACAGTTACAATGGTGACTATCTTCTCCCCATCACTTGGGTTTGGGAGACAGCCGTTCGTAATGGGCTCCGGCATCTTTGCGATCGCTGTAACTATCCCAACGCCAGTGACGCCAATGGAGTTCACCAGATCTCCGGCAAAGGTGTCGGCGGGTCCAATTAATATACGATCTGAAGCTTCAAAAAATAGAATGTCGCCAGTAGTGTCTTCCTTGTTCAAAGGGAAAAAAGAACCTCTGAGGAAATAAATGCTGCCTTCCTCGAGTTTGAATTGGGCTGGACCGAATCCGCGTGCTACAACTTCATAACTCATTCGGTTGTTTCGGTGAGCGCCTCCGCCACTAATGCAAGTCGTGTAGGTCCGATACTCGGACCTCCAGCCATTCTCTGGGGAAGTCTGACAATATGATAGGTGGCTCAGCTTTTGAATGGAGTAATGTATACCTGTAATTCGCCTACCTTTTTTTCTATCTCGAAATTTCCAGTGAGATATAGGCCGTGAGTTGTCGACTCATTAGGATCTGCCATTTGGGTTGAAATAAGATAATGATAGGAAACCTGTGCTCGGAAAAAAAAAGCAAAAAGACTCAGTTACACATTCATGGGTAGCCAGGTCAATTCGCGATTGGGAATGTACGAGGAGTTAAGTGCGCTTTTGAAGATTTTTGCAGCTGGAAGGTTTATGATTCAAGGTAATCGGAAAACTTTGAACAAGCAATTCTAAATTTGGAGTAATGATGTTACCACCGGTAGCAAGTTCTAGTACGAAATAACGAGACAGTAGACACCAGTGTTAGTCAGTTGAACAATGGGAGTCGTTCTAGATGAGTTCACAAACCAATTACGTAGATATAGAACACAGATTAATTCTGCACTAAATAATAAGTGGCCAGTATCAATCAATCAACCTTCATCAACGTTCAAAATGATGCAGTGCGAGTGGTTGAACTAAAGAATGCTTTCGAACATACCTTAGGCCTATATATAGGCACTGATGGTTGGTGGTAAAAAGCGCTGTGTCCAGAAATCAGCCACTGGTGAGTGCTTTATGAAAATTTTCACCGAATTGTAATATTTGGAGTTTGTGGAATATGATACGTCCTTTCATCTACATCAATTAATTCGACATTAGAGTAAAATGGTCAGTTACCAATATATCAATCTTTTCACATCAATCAATTTCATTTGTATCAATCATTCATAGCTTGGATTGCATTTCATGTGAGGTTTGCTAGTCGGGTTAGCAGACCACGTGACAATATTCCTGTAATTGGAGCCGGTTAGTTATATAATTATATATGTTGATCTGATTATGTCAATTTGATGATGGAAAATGCACGGTACACTCAATGTCCGCTGAAGGCCTCGCTTCTTGTTTCCCAATTTGCTCGCTGTCCGGATATCCAACTTGTAGGTACTCGGGTGTTCGATGTTCAAAGCTTGGTTGATAGTTGGGGTGAGGTCAGCCTGTGGTCGACTTATTCAAATCAATATTCTGGCGAGTTTAGATTCTCAATTGGCTTTTCTATTCTAAGTTGCCGACAGCCTCAATCGTATAATCCACTCCACCCCGAGCCCGCTAGTTTTTCAAGAGATGAATCCCAAGTGTGAGTTCGTATGTATATTGGATCAAAGTTATCGAAGTTAGTAATTGTTGTAGGGAAGTAGTATATACTTCATTTACTTGAGGTAACTGTTAGCGGATAGATTTGTAATTCTGCAATTACTTGGATTAAGGTACAAGTAGTGCGTAAGCGATCTCGCATGAGTTACTGAGTACGCAATACTACTTTGCTGGGGGATGGAGAGAGCTCATACCGTTGTTGAAGATTGCGTAGAGAAATGTTGAAGACTGCTCTCCTGCGTATTGCTGGACATTTGCTTTATGAACGTTAGGTGATGTGTCCAGTGAGCGACCCAAAGGTGGACTCAAGACTGCAGGTTTCGCGGTGTATTAGTGTGATAAATTGACTGATGCTTTTGCTGTGGACGTGAGCCGCAGCTAATACTTACACCACGTGAGGGGAGAGGGATATTTTCTAAGTCCTAATTTGCTAACCCCTAACCATAACACCTAACCAGCCCTAACCGTCAACCTAACACTTTTAGGGTCACGGGGTTCAGTTCAATAAATTGTTTGAGAGGCCATCTTCATAACTTTATAATTCGCGCGCGGTTTCATGTAAACATTTCCAGTTGCTACAGATTCCATCTCTCGAAGATGTTTGGCTGGGCAAAGCATTTGTGGAATCTCAAAACTTGTAGTTTAGGCAGTTAAGCAAAATTGTAAATTGTATGAGTTAAGTCTACAGGAATATTATTGTTTAACTTTGCTATTTAAGCAAACCCCGTCAATAATAACATTGAGTGAACGTCTTACAAAGAGCAGAGGGTCAAGCAAGGTAGGGTTCACAACTGTAGCTGTATCCCAGTATTACAAAATGTACATGAGGAATGCCACGTTTTTGTTCTTCGATTTTGATTAAGTAATTGGCGTTGGAGTACAAAGCTCTTTCGCCGAGTTTATGGTCTAAGGCATGAATTCAGGAGTGAAGCATAGTGAGTTGCGTTCCCCGAGCATGTTAATTTGTGAAGTCTTTAAATCATTCTCAACTTACTGTTTCCGATGTATTCTTGAAGTTCTTGTACATTATTGAGGAGGCGAGGCAGCTCCCGGTTCATTACATTGCTTGGATGATGTTTATGCTCAACACCCCTTGTTGAAAAACTGCTTCAGAAGCTGTTTATTAAGATATGATACGAATAACAAAGCATTGCTTACAATTCTAACCTGGTCTGGTGCAATAGTATGTCAGCACAAACAGAATTTTGGATCCCTGACGTCTCCACGATACGTGGCCGGAAGTGTGAAACATTGTTGGTAAGCTTAGTCGAGGTGTATAAGTTGATGTAAGGTAATTGAGGCTTCGGGAATATAATAGTATAATATGTGATTTGCTGAGCTCTAAGTAACTTTTGCAAAATCGGATAGTACTGGTTGTAAATAAAGTAGGTACCACTTGGAAAGCAGTGCGTTGGAGGCTTGTGATCTTGGGTCATTTGGAGGAAGAAACTTTTACAAGCGACAGTACTTAGTTGGTGAGAAGACTGGATATTTATTTATTTATTTATTATCTCGACGTGAATCTTGATCTTGATCTTGATCTTGATGTGAATCTTGACGTGAAAGAGGAGAAATATCACTCTGCGAGCAGCGTCGGTATATATATTGAATACTTGCTCGTTTGGATTTTTAGTAAACTGAATGGGGTGCGCCTTATTATCTATCAGGACCGGAGTTGGTTGTCGCCTTTATATTCAATTATGTTAGCAAATTACACACTTTTCTGACAGTGTCCCTGTCTTTTGATGATTTTGCTCAGGATGAGTTTGCTCGAATTTCAGCATTTGGTTCGCTTGCCGTGTCAATCCGATTGTTTTGTTATTGTGGTCATGTGAGCACGTGCACCTGTTGTGTAACTTCTTGATTGCCAGTCAATTAACCAAATTGTGTAAGGAGGTGCTGCCGGAAGTTACAATTTCCATTTTAGTGTCGTTGATCCTGGAGAGCATCTACAAAGCTCTTACAATGTAACTGGAGACTAAGAGGTATTGCTGACTTCGCCTACATTGCTGGTTCCGCTCATTGATTGCCGGCCGATGTATGTAACTTATGCAATTAATCAATAGCATCCAGGCGGTCGTATCAGTTGTTGCCCATATTGCTACGCACTTATTGCCTCGCCCGCTTCGTGAATGAACTCGGTAAAGTAGTTCCTTGTGAGAATTAGGATTCAAGCTAGAATAATTACAAAGCCTGGGTTGGGATATTGTAGTTGAGATTTGTTTGTTTCCCTTTAAGTTTGCGGTGTGTCATCCAAGTCTCATGGCATATAAGGGAAGATATATATTAGCTTTTGCTGTGTCAACTAATCAACAACACATAAAGGGTCATACGGGGCTACATTCAAAATTCACATTTGAGGAACGGTTAAGTAAGTTGAGATAGAATCATATCAATTACTTTGCGCAGAGTTGAAATTAAAGTTATTGCCTCCAGTTCACCTGGAAACCAAAATGGCATTCTATGCAACGAACATAGATTAAAGATGTAAGCACATAATGGGGGAAGCGTTGAATGAAATGAGCACGGAGAACAACACAAGTTCAATAGTGAATTTGGCTACGTGTGTGGCTTTGTAATTATAGATGTCTGGTAGTTTTGTTTAGTTAAGCATCACGGTAAAGAATTAAAATGATACTGGAAGTGAGTTGATTGGATGTACAGTGGATTGTGAATTGGAATTGAATGTTGATATCCCTTCAACAGAGATATTGAACCTAATCCAGCTGTTAATGTGAATTGTCTACTGGATGAAATGTTCTTCTGTTTGGCGAATGATATGACAAAAATTCAATTAGCGGCTCATAGCTGCGTAGGCTGGAGAAATGGCGGTTTTTAGGTGGAGTGGACCGGAATATCAGGATAGTTGTCGTGAAGGGACTGTGGGTCATGATAGCTGATCTGGATCTTACGTTTGTTTGCTTCAGCACAGGCAGTTCCAATGCAAGCGGTGATTCGGGTGGCCTGTGAAGTTATCAGTCAGCTTTTGGTGATACGACTGTGAAAGAGGAAACTAACTACGACGTCGGAGTAGCGAGATTTCTCATCAAAGTTTTGAAGATACCCATGAAACGTGTACAATTGGCCGACCTTGATGTCCTTGGGTTCTACGCCAAGCGTTTCAAAAGGACGGATAAGGTAAAGCAGCTTTAGTAGTAGATGGGGTTCGAGTCTGTGGAAAT